TTTTGTATATGAAGATTGTAGCTTATTCTACATTACATGCCAGCAGTTACTAATAAATGTATTAAGCCCTTGTATTTTTCAGTTGTTCTCTAGTTCTCAAGTACAGTTGACTGTAAGAATAATTTTTGTCCCTAGTCCCTGTTCCTTCACCTGTGACATATTGTGAAGCTGATAGTTTTGTCCAGCTTCCTTTCCCTGCTACACATGCCCAGCACACACTAAGAATTAATGGGGTGTGTGTAACCCTGGGCTGTGAAAGCAAGTGCTATTCTTGATTACTGTGTCCCTGAACACCCAGGGCTATGCATAAACTTCTTACGGAAAGAGGCTCAGCTCTGCTGCATAGATTTATTGGAGTAACTTCCCTAGGTAACTTCTTGTTTTTCAAGCTGCAGCTGGATAACACCCTGAATATTATTGCCTTTGACTTGTTTTTTGGGGGTAGGGATAGGTTGCACAACACCAAGGGCTTGCTTGGGTGTTTGGTAAGGCTACACCCAGTTTAGCAAGGAGAGCGTAACATTGAAGTGTTGAATTTGGTTACCTTCTTGTTTTAGAACAATGCTTTGTTTCAGTCTCACGAAAGCAGGCATCTGAACACTTTCCTGACAACATGGTAGGAAGAAGAGCTATCAGCTTCCTGTTGGTGCAGTAGCATTATCATTCCTCACTGTGTAAGCAATGAAGTGTTCTATTAGCTGAGCTGTTTGGTTTCCAGACGTATGGGAAGTTAAGCCCAAATGGTTCTCCATTTTGACTCTTGTGAGCAATGAGGAGGAATGTTTTCTAGTGACTTTTCAGTTTTACAACTGAAGTTTATAAGTTTCAGTCTTATAAATTGGAATTTGCAATTTCTGAGCCAGGAGTCACCTTTGGCAAATGATGCTTTCACCATGCTGCCTTGCTTAGGAATAGAGGGAAAGTGTAGTTGAGTTAGGTTTATCACTGCTTTGTGCTACGCCTGTGGAAGCCCAGGGCTAGTTTTCACTTCAAATGTCTGTCACCTAAGTACTCTTAAACTTTGTGCTTGAAGTTAGAGAGGGCAAGGTTTCCTGCACATCTTTTGTAAGGTAACATTATCAACGTAGTTCTCCAAAAAGTACCAGCACTTTGTAGTTAAGAGACAGAACTGGCATCTTTCCTTGTGGAGGGATAAGAGCATTTCAGTGTGTACAAACAGGCAGAGTCTGTTGGGCAGACTGATGGTCTCAGTTTACAAGGTAGTAGAACAAGTGCGTGGGATGTTTCCACGGACACGCCTGGCCGTTTCAGTTGCCCAGAAACGACGGTAGCAGCTTTTTTCCCCTTTTTTTCCCTTTTTTTTTCTTTTTTTTTCTTTTGCCCCCCCCCTTTCCCCCCTTTTTCTTCTCCCTTCTCCCCTTCTGCCTCTTTTCTTTTTCTCTCTTTTTCTTTTCTTTTCTTTTCTTTTCTTTTCTTTTCTTTTCTTTTCTTTTCTTTTCTTTTCTTTTCTTTTCTTTTCTTTTCTTTTCTTTTCTTTTCTTTTCTTTTCTTTGACTTTTAGCTGTAACTGGCAGAGGACACTCCTTAATGGGAGAAAATACACAATCAAAGGGCAACTTTACAGAGGGAGAAGCAGGTGGTTTGCATTCCGTTATGGTCAGCGTCAGATGCAATTTTGAGATTTGAGTTATTGTAAGGGATGTATCACCAAGAAGGCATACTTGATGGGAACATCTCGGCATTGCTTACTGAACAAAGTGCAGCAGGGTATCCCTCTCACCACTGATGTTTAGAGCTCCTGTGATATAATGGGATCATGGTGGGTGCAAGGAGGTTGCACTGGCTGTTACCTTCTGCTTGCTGAGGTCTTCCAGCAAGACACCTCCTACAGCCAGGTACTTGCAAGTAATTACAAAACAGAACCCTGTGTGTGCATGTCCTGGAGAGCACACTTTTTAACTGGAAGCAATGTGACTGTCCTTATCTGCTGGAGATAATTATCTTGTAGGTACAGCAAAACTGTGCCCTAGTTGCTGCAAATCACTGGTGAAATGCAAAGAGGCGGGGAAGCAATTGGCAGCTCAAGCACTTGTAGCTGTGAAAGAGCTGAGCTGTACTAATCAGATGGTTTCTCAAAAATGTAACTTTTTTTTGAGGTGATATTCTAATGAACAATATGGGTTTTGTGTGTTTGCTCCAATAGTGTGATACCAAAACTGGACATGAAGTTATAAGGAGAAGAAGTGTCTGAAAAAGGAGAACTTCTCTAAGGACATTTGAGAGCAAACATAAGTGATTTCTGAGTTTCTCTATGACCTAGTTGTTTTTTTATCAGGTCAGCATCACCAGCTCACCCAAAATTTCTTTTTTGACAGACAAGTACAGCAAGTGGACGATGACGACTGCTGTAATCTGGCTGAAGTGACAAGCTTGCGTGGGGTTTGTGCAGGTCTAGGTAAAGGTGTGTGAAATGCGATTGTATCATCTCTGCAGTTGTGTCATGGTGTTTGTCCTGGGGAAAAATGATGCCGGGGTTTCTGAGCAGCTGTTGGGGCCTGTTCTACACAAGGGATGGAAGCCAATGAGGTCCTAAAAGTTCATATTCGGATTACTGCCATAACTAGAAGGATGAATATTAAAACACCTAGGAGAATTATTGGAGCAGTCATGAATCTTTTGGGTGTATTTCCTCCATATCTTCCTGGAAATCCTTCTTGATTTTTGGAAAATCTGAGCATAGAAAAAAGCTGAAAATATGTTATTTCTTTTACAAGGACCAACCTGTGAACCACTTTTGCACATAAACCTGTGCGCTAACTGCTTCATGAGAAAATTTTAATTTCCTCAGCAGCCTCCTGCTAGTTGCAGCACTTCATGGGTATTTACTGCAGAAATAGATGCGCTCATCTGTAGTAAGCCTAATAGCATGGTGTTTGTGGGGGTTTTTTCCCCCACTGTGTCACTGGAACAACATAATAAACAGAGAGGGTTTTTTTGTTTTCAGGACTAAATATCATCTGTGTTCTGCAGTGGTTTCAGAAAAACGTTCGACGCTAGGTGTGAAATGATGGCATTTTAACA